GAAAACCACCACAAAAAAAAAAAAAAAAAAAAAAAAAAAAATCCATTAAAAACAAAAATGATTTAAAAAGTTCAAAAAAAAAAAAAAAAAGTGCATTATAAACCTAAATGATTTACAAAGTTCCAAAAGATTTAGAAGTTACTCAGATCACACTCTGCAGAAGCAAGTCTAATTCTGAAGTTATACTTACCCACGTCTTTTGGTGGTTGTGGGAGCCATCTCAATGCTGAAAATAACAAATATACGGGCTACAGAACGAACAAATCGGCGTGCTACAACCTTGGCATCGGCTAAATGACTAGGAGATGATTCATTCTGGAGCTCTCGGATTAGTGTAGTTAAAAGTGTGTCTAACATCTGAAACAAATATAATATTCAATTAACAAGAAGAAGAGTTTACATATTTATTATTTTTTTGTACTCAGACTGTGCGAATTTCATGCTGCTATCAGTACAATCTGAAAGGCACAATATATAGTACTGGTTAGCAAAAGATCTGTGCTAAACTTTCATGTCAGTAATTAAATCCAAACCTTTTAGGCATATCTGCAACCCTGCAGTGTGTATACTAAATATGCTATAGCTGTCTTGTCTGTATACACGAAACAACTTATGGAGTGGTGAATGCATTTTCATAAAATTTTATACCGGGAATTTTAATAAAATTTGTTGACGCTTTCCAATCTTGGTTGAGGTCAGAGAAACAAACCAGATACTTTAAATGAAGAACTATACAGGTTTCTGCACATATGTCAAGTGTAACCGGCTAAATATTAATCAAAGTGAAACATGCAGGAAAAATGAAACATGAATTTTATGTCCAATACACTTTTCCCAGACAGAGTTCCTAAAGACAGAGGCAGCAAGTTCCTACAAAACACTGATTCATCTGCCAAAGCAACACAATGTCACAACCCACATGACTACAGATCTTAGTGATACAGTATTTGCTCACGTCCATGGCCATTTCCAGAGATTTTTCATTGGCTTTACTGAATGCTTCTTCACAACTCTCTAGGAGCAAACTGCACAGTTCCCTGGCTATTGGGAGCAACTATTTAAAATTTCATAAAAGTTTTCACCATCAGTTCTTCATAAATATCTGTCTTCAATTATCATAACATAAAAAGTATAGTGACTCAACTATAGCTATGGTCTTTCACAATAGTTACTTTAACTGTCATGGCATATTGCTGGTAGAGGACTACATGGGCCAAGCCCAAGGACTAAGTCACACATGTAATACTTCAGTCTTGAGCAAGCTTGGTTCATGTGTTAGTCAAATATTACTCACAAAATCTTAGATTTGCTTAAGTCACAAATTATTTCATAATTAACCAAAAGCTGTTTTTTTAAAGGAAGGTTTCCCACAATATGCTGTTCAGAAGGTATATAAAAACAGTCTAGAGATTTGACTAGAAGAATATGTTGACCAGAACAGCCAGAAACCTTGTTTTCATAACACCATCACTGACCAAGTAGCATAATGTAATATTACCAAGGTTTTCTCTTCATAACCTATTGCTTCTTCACTATATTACTGTTTCATAAAATAAATCGAAGGTCTTATTTGAGTTTAGCTTTCAATCAGTCTTATGGATTCTGATGGTTGATAACCATGTTCACAAGAGCCTGCCATCAGAAATTATTCTTAGCCACATCCAGACATCAAGTTTCTTTAAAATTAATTTTAATACCATCTTCCCATATACATTTAGGTCTCCCATGTTGTCTCATCACTTATGATGCTCTAACGAAAATTACATACAGTAAAACTTGGTTATAGCAACATTGGTTTCTGCAACACCTTGTCTACTGCGTCAAATATTCAATGGTACGAACTAATTCCTCATAAAGCAACTGTTTTTATACCTTGCTTAGTACGACATGCACAAATGCATCAACCTCGTATGTAACGTCATTTTCATTCCTGAATTTCTCTCATATCGTGGGAAAGTTCGATGTGTCTGCCCACCCTCACTTTCTCTACTTGCTGACGTGACTGTCCTGGAAGAATACGACCGAGGGGCTGCAAGAGGAGCGTGGGTTTTAAGGGAAAACAAGGGTGTGGGGTGGGACTGCGTGAATAGTGCAAGAGGACGCGGCAGGTTGTTAACTGCATTCCTTTCCTAGAATCTCGTCTAACAGGACCTCACATTGTCTACTTACCCTATAGTGCTCCTGCCTAAACCCAGAGAAGTGCAGCAGCGAAAACATGGCAATGAAAAGGAAAGTTTTAAGCATTGAAGAGAAAGTTAAAGTGATTCTTGAAATATTGTGTGTATTGTCAGTGAAAAGCCCTGTAATATGTCTTTGATATTACACATTTGGGAAATTCCACTTTAATGTTACGTTAGTCTGTACTTAACTATGTATTTCACTAAAAAATGCAACATTTTAACTCGGTTTTTGGTAGATTTTTACGTGACTAACATAAGGCTACTGTGGAAGTGCCCATTTCGGTTACGACATTCGTTTATAACGACACTATTTTTAGGTTCCTTTGATGATGTTATAACCAAGTTCTACTGTACTTCCGATTTTTCCCACTGGTGCTAAATATTCCACTCTCACCTCCTCCTCCTCATTTTGATCACCCTTCGAACTCTAATATCTTTTTTCAATGTCTTTCAGACATTCCTTCCTCTTGCTCCTGAAAGTTCCTCCACTACCATGCCTTAACTATTCAGTTCATTTCCAATCATTTGGCTTGGATTCTGCAATCATGGCATTTTAGCTCAGATCAACTTCTGGGATGAATCTGGCCATGCTGTCAAACCCCATGTAATTGAAGACTACAATGCACACATGGGCTTTGTCGATAAATCTGACAGGATGGTAAACAGTTATGGCATTGCTCAGAGGACATGGAAGTGGTCAAAGAAATTGTTTTTCCACCTTCTAGATATGACTATTCTAAATGCATATCTATTACACAAGTCATGTGGTGGAAAAATGACACACAAAAAGTTCTGCGAAATATTGGTGCGGGATTTGATTCTACAATCGCATGAGGCGAATATCATGGTCAGTGGCGTTTCTCAGGGAAGGCCAAGTTCATCTTGGGCCCCACTGAGTGAAATGGAGGTGAAACATTCACAACACTGGCCAACCAAAGGGAAACAAAGATGTTGTCGTGTTTGTTCTCAAAATAAGAAAAGCAGAAGCACGTTCTACTATTGTAAAAAGTGTAATGTTGCGCCCTGTGTGGTGGACTGCTTCGAGAAGTGGCACACGTGCATCAGAGCGTGAGGATCGTAAACTGTGAAGTGATGCAGTTCAAACTCACGTACAGTCTGAACAAAATATTATTGTATATAGTGTGATTATATTTACAATATCCCCATGATCCAAGGTTGAAGAAAAAACAATGGGTAAGTCCTTTAAAATTTCATAAGATATATATAATAAAGATTATATTTTGCAATTCATGACAAAATAATCACAGTTAATTTTCATTTGTAAAACTTGCTCTTTGGTGTATATGTAGAAAATCTTATTGTCTTTCAGGTTCTTTTTAGTTCATATTTCTATGTTGCATAGAAGGGAAAATATGCATTTTTTCTGAAAGTCTAAAATGTTAAAGACTTAGAGCCATTTAAATTCCGAGTGTAGGGGGCTGCCGGCAATTTAAAAGTCTGTACGTCAAAGGTTAATCATTCAGCATCAAATTCCAGCAACCAAACAGCATACAGATCTAGAAACCTGTACATACCTCAGCACTGCACTTTACTAAGAGACAATATGTAAACTTGTCTAATAAAGTTGTTCCAGTTTGGCTCTGCAAGTAGGTTTGGTCATCATAAACAGGTTGTGAGGTTGGTGGTATCTCTTTCACACCTGTAAAAACAAACAGAAAAATAACTAAAACAGAAGTTAAAAAGAAGAAATATACATTTGATAGATTAGATTAAGTCTATTATCCTGCCAATTTCTATCACATCTCCATTGGTGTGCTCAATCTCTACTACCACAAGATGAACAGCTAAGCTGTAACTGTGGCTTAGAGATGGGAAAAGATTCTATGAAGTTATATTAACAAAACATTTTATCCATTTTATTTTCTGATACATAATACAGTGGACCCTTGTATGAAGTGTATTTGACCCTACATGAAAAACCAAATGTGGAAAAATTATATTACACATGAGTAAAATTGTAATACATGCAGTCTGATCCGAAGGCCTAAAAAATTTAAGGCTTCTGTTTCCAAACGCATCATCTTCAACCGAAGCAATCATCATCATTCTTGGACATGCAATTCATAAGAAAATATAATGTTTAACGTATTGTTTTACAAATGTACGCGCAAGCACACATTTACTTACCATTTGCAAATGTCACTAGAGTCAGGGATTTATTTTATTGTGACATGACTGCTAAAAGCCGGAACAGTTTAGTAAGACAGGTCGTCCACCTGTCAATGGCTAGTAAACATGTTTACATGGCAACCAAAATGTGCTCTTTTGACAACAGACATGCAGCTTCTAACAGTTCTTCTATTGTTACGAGCATATCCATTACTGTGGAAGCATGTTTTGGTTGCCATGGAAATGTGTCTGCTGGCTGTTGTCTAGCAATGGATAATCTTCCTTGTTGAAGTATTCTGGCTTTTAGCTATCACGTCACTATATTTTTATTTCATACACAGTTTGGGTAGGGCAATTCGTTTGTGTGTTGTGTGTAAAAAATTTGTGTATCCAGATATTGAAGGGAGATTTTCCATAGACATGTTCATGTACTCCCATTTACCCCACAAGATATTAAGTCTGTACAACATGGATATATATAATATGCTGCTCCTGATGGATCTAACCTGATAGGTGGGCAAGGGTTTACTGCATACAGAAAGAATTACTTACTGCTTGCTACAAGAAAGTAAAATGGGACAAACCTTAGACTTGTTTTAATGCATGAGAAGACCAGTCAAAGTTTAAACCATTACATTCAAATTAATTATTAAACATGTTACATATCTAAAATACCTTAAGTATCTACATTAATAGTATATTCAGCCAATAACAATATGTGATAGCTATTTAATATTGTTTAAACTGCAGTTTTCTCTTGGGAGTTCTATGGCATGCTGTCACCTTGATATAGCTCCATCTGGCTCAGTAAAAAGAAATGCCCATCCCTGACGTAGTTTCTTCTAACAAGAGGAATGATGGCCATCTAAGGCACCACTCCACAATAAGAATAAAAACATCTTGTACTACCCCCGTAGGTGGCACTTTGAAGTCCTCATTTCATGAAGAGCCACTCACCAGACATAATCATCCGATGGACAGCTGACCAGTCATTAAGGAGCCTTTCCAGTGCCCTTCTGCTGAACCGAGGAGGCTCCAAGTCATGATCAGGCATATCTGGCTCTGAAAATCATAAACAAATCATGTAGGCATTCTGTGGGCTAGTGGTCCGAGTTCCTGGCTACAGATCTAGAGGTCCCAGGTTCAATTCCCGGTGCTACCAGATTTTCTGAGATGTAATGGGTCTTGAACGGGGTCCACACAGCCTTGTGAAGATAACTGAGAAGTTATCTTATGGAAATAGCAGCTCCGGTCTAAAAAACTGAGATCAGTGGTTGTGGAGATCCTTTGCGCTGAACATGTGACACCCATTATCAACAAAATTTGGCACTAACTTCACTGACAAGCGGCGGTCGCTTGGTCGGTATAGTTCACTTGCAGACTACAGGCCACAGAGTTTAGTTTAGTTTTTTTTTTATTTAAAAGTTTTAGTTTAGGGCATACATCAACAGGTGAAAGTTTGAATTCAGAAGCATTTGCATCAATGTGGTGATACATGGCATACCAAAACAACTGAGGGCCATTCATATACCCACATGAAGTAAATATCAGATGAATTTTGCTCATGTTTTGTTTCATTCAGTACTGTAGGTAAGCAGTGTGGTCTGGAAGTTTAGTTTGTTGTGGTATAAGGTCTTGTGGCCACAGTAGGAATCTCTGTAATGGCTTAATATTTGGCAAGTAACTAGGTCAGACTACTACAACCACTTCAAGAGAGGCATAATATTGCCAAGCAGAAAAAAATTATAGTAAACTGNGCGCGGGGGGTGATCAGTTCAGGGGGCAGAGGACTCTCAAATGTCACCAGACTGCCTGAGGACAGTTGTAACAGCTGTACATATATAGTTACAGGTAGTAATGAAATCAATGAGATGAAGTTTCTGACACTTACCAGCATCACCTTCATGCATAAGCAGTTCTGTGTATTTGACTAAAGTCATGGTAAGACCAAAGAGAACAAAATAAGAAAATCAGAATAGAAAAGCCAGTCAGTAGGTGGTGGAGTTTTGGAGAAAACCTCTGAATGTATGTTAAGTAAAACTGTAAATACTAACAATAAAACAGAGTTGTGTCTTATACTGACTGGTGACCTTATAACCAGTCCTCATGGGGAAAGAAGCCAAATTCCATAGGACTTAACTTTAACCATGCCCCATCCAAAAAGATTCACAACTGGCTAAGAAATGTTTAATATTTTTTTGTCTTCTAATAGGGGCTAACTTGTAAGATGCTTCATAAGGACTACACTTATCTGGAACCACATCAGCTACAGATACAAAGGGTAACTGTAACTCATTCTCTTACAGTAAACCTAACCAGATTGTGTTGATAATCATTCGCCTCCACCTTTCGCCAAAGTCATATAAATAACAGGGCTATAGCCAGGGATGACTAAATTCACATGCTCAACCATGTAAGTAGTTTGGTACATTATATTTCTCACAGATATACAGAGAGCTTTTTTCAACTTTGTTGACTGGTTCACAGCTCTGTGCTTCATGGTGACCAGTGCCCTGCTTGCTGTGAGGCACATACAAATTTGCTGATGAATCAGCATTCCTGATGGCTGATAACATTTGGGATGAAGGGAAGTAATTAATATGTGGACTGCTTGATGGCATTATGTTTCATGGCAAGCAGTACAGTTTGTGAGTGGGAGTTTGTTTATGATTGTCAGCAGCAGGCAGCAGTTATTAGCTCCATTAGCCATTTGTTCTCAGTTACAGTTAGTCAGCAGTGTGGTACAGCATTGTGCGGTATACTTCACAGCAATGTGCACATATGTATGACACCTATGTGAAATATGGACATGCCAGAAAGTATCGACAAAAATGATGATGTAAATTTCACAATGAAAGAGTTCCCAGCAGACAAACAATTCACAATTTGGTGAATAAACTTAGAACAACAGGACTCTTAATAGAGAAGAAACAAAAACATAATTGCCTAGTGCTTACAGAGGAAAAGTCAGATGACACAAGGGCCAGACTTGAACATTCACCTAGAAAATCACTGAAACGTCTAGCTCAAGAGATTGGCATGTCAGAGGCTTGCCTTGCAGCCATGCAATCCAGCTAGCAAGTTCACTTTAGCAGTTGGTTTCTACAGTCTGTCATCAAAAGTGAGATCAATCCTCAATTGACATTCTTTTCTGATGAAGCATGGTTTCACTGGCGGGGATACATAAATACGCAACATAATCACTACTAGAGTCCACAGACTTTGCATCTATAAATACCCAACATAATCACTACTAGTGTCCACAGAATTTGCATCTAGCCCATGAAGTCCCACTACATCCAGTGCCTGGTGAGCTGTAAATGCAACGATTATTGTACCTGTGTTTCTTAATGAAACAATTAATTATGAAGATATCTACATGTAAAGGGACAGCATTTTCAACACCTCATGTGATCTGTGAATTGTAACTACTTCATCCTAAATGTTATTGGCTATCAGGTATGATGACTCAACGGCAAAATTTGTATGCACCTCACAGCTGGCGGCGCACCTGTGCCATGAAGTACAGAGCTGTGGAACCAGTCAACAAAGTAAAAATCCTCCGTGTGTGGGTGCGCATAAAACAAATACTGCATAAGTGACATACCAGCATCTGAAGATGGTGTTTTCCTACTGGAGGCAGATGCACTTCTGGGTCTTGCGGTTCGATACTGACGCTGTTCCACTGATTGGCGCCCTACAGTCTGAACCAAGAACAGCAGAATGCTCTCACCTCTGAAGGAAGAGAAAAAAAACAAAACAAAACAAAGTGCATTTATTAACATGGCACTGAACTATGTAAAAAAGCAACTGATTATTTGGTATTGGGAATGAAACAGATGATGGCTGAAACACAAAAATCTGCTACTCAGGCAATACAGCACATTTTGCACTGAGACAAGTCTGCTTGCTAACACCTGTAATTATACAATATGAAAGTGTGATTAAGACAGTAAAGATGACAAAATAATCAATGGAAAATGCTAGAAGTGCAAAGATAGAAACATCCAAGGGCCACATCTTCAACCCTCTGTCAGCACTTGCTGCAACTCATTACATGGATTCATTTAAAGATCACAAAGATTACAATAACTGATCAGAAAGCTTTCAACCATTCACTACAAATTACACTACTGGTAAAGGTAAATCTGTCCCTGCGCTTATCTAATTAAGCATTACACCGTGAAGATGTATGGGGGACTGGATGTATAGATCCACATTTTCTTGACCTTGGCACTAGCTGGAGGTGAGTGGTCAGCTTCAAGCCCCGGCCGCTCTGACCCCAGTACCCACTTGATAGGAGGTTGGGTGGACCCCCAGAGTCAGTCTGGATTATGTGAAGAAAAGAAAATTCACGACCCTACTGGGACTGGAACTCTTTGACTTCAGTTGTCCAGCCCGCAGCCAGTCACTGTACTGACTATCCTACCCAGCTCACAATTACACTACTGGTTAACACAAAATACTGTTCTGAAAGGTAAAGAGAATTAAATGATCCTCAATATGGTGCCTCCGCCCACACTGCACAAGTCAGCCAAGCTGGGAAGGTTGGTTACACAGCCAGAGAAAGAAACAGGTCACAAAGGATAGGAGTGGTCAATCAAGGCCTGGGAAAGAGAAAGGAGAATGATCTCCATATGGGCCAATGGGAAATTAAGAGCCTGACAAAGGCAGCTACTGGGCCGCACCATAGCTCAAGCGGTTAGTCACTGGCTTCCCACTGCGGAGGCCCAGGTTTGATCCCAGGTCTGGTCAAGTGGAATTTGTGGCGGAGAGAGTGATGCTGGGGCAGGTCTTCTCTGAGTACTTCGGTTTCCCTTGCCAATCTACATTCCACCAACTGCTCCACAATCACCCTCACCTATCATCTGGGGCTGGTACAATAGGCCAGAAGTGGCCTCCATACAAGGGACTTAGTCCCACCCCACTAGCATTAAAAAAAGGGGTGGGGGGGGCAGCTACTCCATGACAGGAGGAAGGAAAGATAAACCTATATTACAAAGGCAGCATGCTTCTCAGAAATCCATTACCAGATTACACAACATCATGTCATAATCCAGGACATCATAACACAAAGAATTTCATTTAATGGGAAACAATAAATCTAATAACAGGAATGGAATCAAATCATTATTAAAGACAGTTCTGGCTGAACCGTAGATTAGGAATATAATTCTGCTTTAAACATGAGAGAGAATGAGGGAGACAGAGAAAGTGTTGGGNTTGGGGGGGGGGGGCGGAATCTCCATAGTAGAATCATCAGATGCTGAGTATAGACTAACTTTATAACAAAAACCAATAAAACAGTCCCTACAACTGGAACATAAAGTGAAATAATGACAATTATACTGTTACATTGGACTTGGGCTGGAACCATGAAAAACATAACCACGTTCAGGAAGACACTATAAGGAAAACACTACACTAATTTAGCTGAGATAATGCATAATACTGAATGCATGAAAACCTGAGGAGAATAGACCATCTGGAGATTTAGTCATACATAGATGGGAGGACAGTGTTAAATGGATCTTAAACAAACAGGTGTTTGAGCATGGATTGGATTTATTTAATTCAAGATAAAATCAAGTAACTGGCATAAAATTTGGATAATTTCTTGATGAGCTGCCAGACTATCAGCTTCTTAATAAGGGCTCCACTCCATGAAGTTACTTAGGACAAACATGTTTCAAAGCAGGAGACATGGAGATTCAATCCATTTATCATTTGGATGTGCAATATTATGATAATGAACTATGCAGTCTTACCTGCTGTTTGGCTGAGACACAAGATCAGTCTCTGTCACAAGTCTACACAGCAGGTTATAGCGTGCTCCTTGCTGGCCCATAATCAGAGCCTTGCACTTGCATTTTTCCCAGCAGTCACAGTAAGCTGTGGGGGAAGTGCGCTTCAACTTGCAGTCATGACCCTTGTGACACACTCTGGCACATTCAGTGCAGCAACACAGTGAACCAGTCAAACCACATGTACGACACTCAAAGATATCCTGAAAATAGCATAATGATTCAAATTATGAGTTAAAATTTCAATTATGAAGGTATTACAAAGGGGGACCCAAAAAAAAGAAACAGAATTTGTTTCTGTTTGTAGTACAGGTTTCTGCCGCTAGGTGGTTGTTTGCAGCAGCTTCCTGAATCAGTATGCCGGCTGGCATCATCAGAGAAGTTTGTGTTAGTGCTTGGTGAATGTTTTTCCAAGTGACTTTTTTATAATTCATCTATTTTTTAATGGCTGATTCACATGAACATGTGCTGCTGTGAAGTTTTGTTTCCTTTTGGGGAAAACAGCAGCAGAAACGGTTCTTATGCTACAAACAGCCTACAAGGAAGCTGCCATGAGTAAAACACAAATTTATGAATGGTTCTCCAGTTTCAAACGTGGTGAAATGTCAACTGATGATCAACCTTGAAGTGGACGTTCTTCGACCACCCGAACTGATGAAAATGTAACAAAAATTTGTCAAATCATTCTGGAAGATTGCCAGCGGACGATTGACGAAGTTTTGAAAAGGTTGCATAACAGTTTAAGGAGAAAACGTCCCAATTTGTGGCAAAGAGGTGAATGGTTCTTTCATCATTACAAAGTTTAGTTATGTAAAAATAAATACAGAATTCTTTATAAACAAATTCCAGGTTTTTGGGGGCCTTCCTCGTAAACAAGATATACAAATTTCAACAACAAGGCATATAATTCAAGTACCATCCCTGTCTTACACAAATCAAGAAGATAGTGCTAATGAGTAATGTTAAGGTTAAGGTAAAATTCAGGTTGTCTCTGTGTTTCTCTCATACTTACATAGCCCCTTGTGCTTGAAACCAACCATTTATTAGGACATATCCTTTACTAAAAAAAGCCATGCCCAGTACTTACTGTATGTTCCTAATGCACAAAGTTAAAGTAGATCTCACTTCTACATATGCTATAAATACAGGCTGGTTCCAAAGCCAGCAGTCACCCAGTACTCTGTGTATACTAATGCCTTTTCTTCCTTTTGAAACAGCAAAGGCCCCCTCTGGAACACTGACAGTTCTAGATCTTTAAGCTTGCCTTCATCACTGGTCTGTCAACAGGTATGCCAGCTGATCTTTCCTTGCATAACCACTAAAAGAGCATGGAATACAAATTTTTATTTTCTGCACACTGCGAATCTGCTTCTGTGTTACTGGTCCTTCATCACTTACAACACCTGATTATACTGTCTTTCTATTTCACTGACAACTTCGGAGATATATAACTTCAAGTTTCACAACTATCTCATGATCATTTTGTTGGGATTCACCTTGAAGACATCAAACCATGCTATTAATACTGGCTGATGCTTTCCAAACATATAATTAGAAGGGCATCTGCATTAAGCACTTCTGCCTCAAGATCCAATAAATTCTCTCTTCAGATATACACACAACAAATTGTGTGACGGATTCATTTCTGGACTGGCCAGAATACATTACTGTTGCAGTTAGAATGAAATGCCTTTGCTAGGTGAAGTCCCTATTAACACTATTCATATAGAATGTACCCTAGCTGATAAAAATAGTTCTTTTAGCTATTTTTTATGTTGCATATGATTCATCACAGCAGAAGCAAGCTCAAAACATTTGTGTTTGTTATATGGACAAGCCTTTGAGAGATGCAGCAGTTTGCAGTACTGCAACAAATGAGTGCCTGAATGATTTAGCATTTCCTCCAACATGCTTGGTCAACCTGTATATACTGTGGGTAAACCACTGCCCATTTCATTGATCTTGTTGGGCCACTTTTTACTAAATTATCAATATTGGGTTCTCAATCAACATCCTTTACACTCTAAGGTGAACCATTCCACACTGTGCAAGCATTACTACTGCAAGGAGGCCATGTGGTTACATTCACTCTGTTGTGCATCAGAAGGAGTACGGAAATACAACACTCAGTGTTCAGCATACACTGCCTTACTTTGTATTAATTTATTTTAAAATACAAGTTTAAATACAATTTTTAATACAAGTTTGATTAGGGTCCTTACCTGATTGATGTGTTCAGCTCCTGTCCATGTAAAGCTGCAGGTATCATTACAACAAATAACATGGAGTGGTGAATCATCTGGACTTGAACCAGCAGGGTACACCATGGCAGTCAGAGCATCAGCCTTACGGTGCTGCTGGGATGATTCAGAAATTGAGGTAACATTGGCAGTTTGTTGCTCAGCTGTAGGTAAAGATGGCGGAACTGCCACTGGACTAAGAGGAGGAGACGCTGTTTCCTTATTTGCCACTCGCTGAATTGTATCCAGAAGTGTTAATGCTGCAGCATATGCACGTGATGTTACCGCCAACATGAATGGCGTCAAACCTTGCGCATCTCTGTAATAATAAATTGTGAATATAACACGCACTCATGAATAACAGCTTGCAGGGGTGAAGAATTATGACTAACCCAACTTGCCAGTTATCGAAACCCACTCCCCAATAATATAAACATTTCCTTCAAAGGATATCTGTAGTATACAGTACCAGTTCTTTGAAGATACAATATAAGAGAGACTATAGACACTTTCCTTTCTTAACTTATCAACATGTGCAGGATGAGTTCTCATACAGAGATTTAAATCAGATGTTTAAGAGACAAAGGTAACACAATGTAACTACAGCAATACAAGGCATACCCTCAAAGTTGCAAGAAGGTACATACAATTGCCTACTTTCTCAGGTATTTTAAAAAGGCAAGTGAAATTATTACTGTACAATGAGAAGACTGATGCTGTTGGAGCCTGTAAGTATCTGAGAGAGTAAGGTAAAGTTGTCCCTGTGCTTAACTAATTAAGAACTACGCCGTGAAGGTGTATGGGGGAGTCAATTTATAGATCCACATTTTCTTGACCTTGGCACTAGTTGGAGGACAGTGGTCAGCTTCACATTCCGGCCGCTTTACCCCCGGGGGAAAGTGCCCCCGGTACCCATTGGATAGGAGGCTGGGTGGGCCCCAGAGCTGGTCTGCACAACATGAAAGTGAAAATTCTTGCCCCCACTGGGACTTGAACTCCGACCCCTCGGTCGTCCAACCCATAACCAGTCACTACACCAACTGCGCTATCCCGGCTCCTATCTGAGAGTATCCAGCATAATATTTGTCCACATCAGCTGCAAGTACATATGTGTGTCCATACCACAGGTTTCAGATCACTTTCAGACAAATAATAAATTTGAATTTTGAACCCAAAAGTAAATATATCTGAGTGCTGGAATAAAATTTTACGTGATGTGGATAGAAAACAAAAAAAGTGATCTAAAGAGCTTAAAATGTAAGCAGAGACATCTATAACTAAAATGCATCCTGTATTTCAATATGTTTTTGCACTAAATTCGCCAAATCTCTTCATCTGCTTTAATCCGTAACATCAGGTATACATTCAAATTCAAACGTTTCTGTTTCAGTGTCTTGAAAATATAAATTACCGAACACGTACTATATTTATAAATATGTTTTTCTATGTAAAATGTTTAAAATTTGAAGCAAAATGCTAAAAGTATATTTGTAGGAGAGAACTAAAACAATGATGTTTGGAAGCTTTTCAGTTTATATAACTGTTACACAGTTGCCAAGCAGTGCCATAGCTCGAGCAGTTAGTCGTTGGCTTCCCACCGCAGCAGCCTGGGTTCGATCTCGGGTCTAGTCAAGTGGGATATGTGGTGGACAAAGTGGTGCTGGGGCAGGTTTTCTCTGAGTACTTCGGTTTCCCCTGCCAATCTTCATTCCACCAACTGCTTCACAATCACCCTGATCTATCATCTGGGACTGGTACAATAGGCCAGAAGTGGCCACAGTACAAGGGACTTAGTCCCACCCCACTAGCAATAAAAAAAAATACACAGCTGCCAACTCACTTGGCAACAAGCATTTCCTTTAGGTGTGGATTAAGTCCAGGGCTCTCACACAACAGTTGCAGTGTCATCAGTGCATTGTTCTTGCGTTCTGTTGGGTCCACAACATATGAATTACTACTTGCCACACCAGAGACTGAACCTATTAAAAAATATGTAAGAGTATTAACCGAAAGATTATTCTATTCAAGAGTAACATGAAAAGAAGAAACAGTGACCAACAAATCAAACTATGGATGACCTGAACATCAAAGCAGAAGCCATCTACTGCCTGTCAAGTTTTCAATACAGATCAATGGAAGGATAAATATTAGTCTGACATTAACAATAAAAATATAAATCTAACAATAATGGAAAAAAGACTATGGAATATCTGAAGTCTCTCTGGCAAGATAAATAAAGCAAATGTCCAACTTTATTCTCAATCTATGGCCTCATTAACCAGCAACAAGTTTTTCAAAGAGAAACAGGGGACCTCTGAAAAATAATAATTTTGGCAGACAGGTACAAGAATGGCATGGATGTATCTAACATGGAAGTTTCATTATCGTACCCTACCAGACAAACGTAGTGCCTTGGAGCATGATGCTGGCCTGTGGATATACCTCTACTTTCACATTCAGGACACAAAGTCTCCTTATAAACTAAATATGCATCACAGCACATTTGCAGAACCAGACTCTTTTTCTTTGGAAAAATACAAGTAACAATTTATATTCATGATTATTGACTTTTTGGACTTCGCCCTTTGTCTAGTATTCTAAAGAATATAGTAATTTGGAAACTGACTCTGTTTCTGTCCTCAGGCAAAAGGACTGCAGGTACTTACTTTGTAGGGTAAGGCCGCGCCACAGCTCAAGCGGTTAGTTGCTGGTTTCCCACTGCGGAAGCCCGGGTTTGATCCCGGGTCTGGTCAAGTGGGATTTGTGGTGGACAAAGTGGCACTGGGGCAGGTCTTCTCAGAGTACTTTGGTTTCCCTTGCCAATCTTCAATCCACCAATTGCTCCACAATCACCCTCACCTATCATCTGGGGCTGGTACAATACGCCAGAAGTGGCCGCAGTACAAGGGACTTAGTCCCACCGTACTAGCAATAAAAAATACTTTGCAGGGTAAGTCAGAAAGAGCTAACTTCAAGTCAATGGATTGAGGTTAGCTATTTTAACTGACACAACAGAGCAGGTGCCTCCCACTCTTGCATCTGAGAGTTAAAACAGATCCAATTTCCAAAACATTGTGTTCTTCAGAATACCATATGATGGACAGAATCCAAAAACTCAGTATTCCTGAATGTAGATACCACCATCAGAACTCCTTAGAATTAACATTTTACACTGTCACACTAATCTCTGAATTCAGAAAACAGAGTTTTCTAACACACAAAATGATTCCAGTATCTGATTTGTCAGTTTTTCACTTCCACTCAAGTTTTATTAGAATGTACCAAAATGTTCCAATGACAAGGACATTTTGTGTGAAAGTTAAGTCCAAAGTGACAGGATATGGATACCTACACAGAAGAATTTGGTCGACAGACCTGCTTTAATCTTCTAAAAAAATTTGTAAGATGAGGTTATAGGCCTCAATCCAAAAAGCAGAGACAAACATATTTATACACTGGCACAGCTTGCTTACTTACTTACTTACTTATGGAGCGGAGCCCTTCTTGAGAAGCGGCCAATTGTGCAGCTACTCACAAACTTCCCAGCATTTTATGAAACATGACGGTTCATTATTACTGTGTTCTCAAGGGCCCTCCACTGGTCCCCATTCTGAGCCAGATCAATCCAATCCATATCATTCCATCCTATCTCTCTAAGATACGTTTTAATGTTGTCCACCCACCTATGTCTTGGTCTTCCCACTGGTTTTACTACCAATATCCTATATGCATTCCTCTTCTCCTCCATTTGTACTACATGCCCTGCCCATCACATCCTCCATGACTTGATCATTCTAATTATATTTGACAAAGAGTACAAGTTATGAAGCTCATTATGCAGTTTTCTCCAACCTCCTGTCACTTTGTCTCTCTTCGGTCCAAACATTCTCCTCAGCGCCCTGTTCTCAAACACCCTCAGTCTATGTTCCTCCCTTTTATTTGATTGCTAGTGGGGTGGGACTAAGTCACTTGTACTGCGGCCACTTCTGGGCTATTGTACCAACCCCGGATAATAGGCGAGGGTGATTGTGAAGCAATTGGTGGAATGAAGATTGGCAGGGGAAACCGAAGTACTCGGAGAAAACCTGCCCCAGAGCCATTTTGTCCACCACAAATCCCACTTGACCAGACCTGGTATTGAACCAGGGCCGCCATGGTGGGAAGCCAGCAACTAACCGCTTGAGCTATGGCGTGATGTTCCTCCCTTAATGTCAAAGACCAAGATTTACACCCATAGAAAACCACAGGCAAAATTATAGTTCTGTATATTCTAATTTTTATGTTTTTAGAAAGCAGACGAAAAGACAAAAGATTCTGGACTGAATGGTAGCAAGCATTGCCTGAATTCAATCTCTCCTTAATTTCCCCCTGAATGAAGTTTTGATTTGTTACAGTCATTCCCAAATATCTGAACTGTGCCCCATTTTGAAAACATCTGTTTGCTATCTCTATGTCATGATTTACAAATATTCTAAAGCAAAGTTCAAAAGCAATGACAATAAAGCATCTTGTTTGAGACCATTCAGGATAGGAAAATATGTACCTATATGTACTTTACTACACGTTTCATTTAAATATATTTCTATCAGCCTAACTAGTTTCATGAGTACCCCAAACTCTTTGAGAATACTGTACAATACTTCCATCCTAACTGAATCATAGGTTTTTTTTAATTCTATGAATAGTTGATGTACTGTCTCATTGTACTCCCATTTCTCTCCAGTATACGATGAATGTAGATACTTGGGAACAACGATAATAGATCGAAACCTGATGCAGGAGGGAGTTAAGAGGCGATTGAACTCAGGTAATGCTTGCTACCATTCAGTCCAGAACCTTTTGTCTTCTCGTCTGTCGCCCAAAGACATAAAAATTAGAACATACAAAACTATAATTTTGCCTGTGGTTCTGTATGGGTGTGAAACTTGGTCTTTGACATTAAGGGAGGAACATAGACCGAGGGTGTTTGAGAACAGGGTGTTGAGGAGAATATTTGGACCGAAGAGAGATGAAGTGACAGGAAGTTGAAGAAAACTGCATAATGAGGAGCNTAGCTGTAGAATTGGCAGCTCCTCCAGAAGGGCACAGCTCCATGAGTAAGTAAGTAAGTATATGATGAATGCAAAAGATTTTATCAGTAAATAAGATCTAAAAGCTTGTGACGATTGTATATTGCTACAAGTATTATGTTTTTTGACAGTATCCATCGTCTTGTATATTTTTTAAAAAAAGTCCTGTTTCTTTTTCAAAACACGTTTCAGGGACTGGATTCTGTCCCCGTCCTTATGTAAAACCTACTCAGTTGGGTCCAATAGAACTAGCCCCTGTCTACTGAGTAGGTTTTACCTGAGGATGGGGACAGAATCCAGTCTCCGAAAGGTTGCATTTTGAAAAAGAAACAGGACGGCTTTTTAAAAAATAGACAAGACGATGGATAATGTCCAAAAACATAATACTTGTATCTGATCAGTAGTTGATCTGTGTTGTCAAAACCCACACTCATAATCTCCAATAATTTTATCTATATACAGACTTAACCTTGAGAGAAGAATATGAGACAAAATCTTGTATGAAGTTGACAGCAGTGATATCGCACAGTAACTATTATAGTCAGTTTATATTAGTACAAATGTAACCTCACACTCTTCAGTCAAATTTTTACATAATATGGCCTTCCAATTATAAAAATTGGCTGAACAGTGTCATATGAAAGGAGTCAATGTCAAGAAGTTAAATTAATCAGAAATAAAGAAGAGAAACAGATTAAAACAGGTCTGTAAATTCAGAAAAAATAGTTGGAAGTGTGGACATCATTAGGGCTTGTGAACTTAGTAGCAGAGAGAATGTCAAAACTTCAAGTAAAGAGCATCCAGGATATTATACTTAAAGCAGAGCGAAGAATGGTATGATGGTACAGTGAAAGCATATGGGCCAAATGAATGAAAATAAGACTGAAAAATATAAAAAGTAAAAAATAAAAAGTAAAGCTATCCTTGTAACGGGCCGTGAAGGCCCATAGGGTTGTGAGACATTGAGGGTCCAACATTTTCTAGACAATCGGCTCTAAGATGGCGGTAAGGTTGTCAGCCTTACGTGCCAGCCGCGCTTTACTCCCCAGGAAAATTATTTAATTAATTCTTGGTACTCATTTGTGTTAGAGGCTGAGTCGACCCCAGGGCCAGAGTGGGGCGGGAAGGATTAGATCAATTGGAAAAAATCCAATGACCTCATCGGGACTTGAACCCATGACCTTCCGGCTTGTAGCATAGTGCCTCAACCAACTATGCTACCTGTGAAAATAATATAAATTTCACACACAAAGGATGTGAATATTTCAAACACAGAATTAATGATGGTGAAACAAACGGTCAGAACAAAAACAGACATAAATGAATTTGAGCACCATTCTAAGTTTAACTTAGTACATGAACAGAATAGCATATGTACATGATGATAGCTAAACAAATTTTTTGATGGCTGAAATGTCTAAACTGCAGATTGGCTATAAATTTGAACATGCTGAAAACTATAAACTATATATATACTACAGTCAAATGGACAAGTTCTTCCACAGTCCTAATGAACATTTTCAGTACACAATGAGAGCAGCTACTTACTGCTTGTTGTGGGTTTTGTGTTAGGTGTACTTGAGGCTCCAAGACCCATAAGGCTGTCCTCATCACCAGATGTTGGGTCAAATGTCTCGGGTGGCCAGCTTAATGTTGGAATTGCTTCTTCTGCCAACGGCTGATGTGCTGCACTATCCACAGCCATGTCACGTTCTATACACAGAACTTTTAAGTTGTGAAACCTGTGTTTCTGTCTAGTATTCAGAAAGTACTGGAAAGTGAAACTACATATTTCTGTCGTCAGAAGGAAGGTTGAGGAGGCAAGTACTCAGCTGGATCCATTAAGAAGAGCTAATCTTAATCACTGGACCAGTGATCCAACCACAGGTCAATCAAAGTTAATTAACTGAAATTAATTATATCTTACAGCTCCAACTGGGTTTGTACGTCCCCACCCTTCACCTGAGAATGGAACATCCAATATCCAAAACATTTCAATCTTTCTAAATACTAGATGATGGACGATGTCCAGAAATTCAGTTGTTCAAAGCACATTATACCATCATCAGATTCCTCTAGAATTTGTTACGTTAAAACTAATGTAAATAACAGAAATTAATATATTGTCACATGTATGAGTGACTGTAAGTAGGATTTTGAATTGGAGATTGGATTTATTGACCACTTTAACATATGACTCATGACTATACTTAATTATAGCAGCATCAATGATATCCAGACTTCACATATCACTACAGCACACAATAAGTCTTTTCTGTCTGCTGTGTCTTCACCAGTAGTTGCCTGGTAACAGCTCCAACAATGGCTATTCCTCTGCTTTCATGCTCAAGTCCTCACTGAATGGTTATAACATTTCAGTTTGTAGCAAAAGAAAACACAGCTCTTCTATTGTTGCTCAAATCGTTTTGCCAAACTTCTGAAAAGCTTGTTTCTGCAGTTTCAATACAAAAAAAAATGAGCCAGTACTTTTCTTTATAATGCAGAATAGAACAAAAGCAAAAAGTGTGGAAATACAAATTTCTTACCAGATGACCTGACTGCAGCGGTTGCCCTTCGCATCATCTCACGCAGACTTACAGAGCGGGAACCCAAAGCATTGGTTATTACATTGATAGACTCCAGCCCTGAATTGTTACTGTTACTGCTTCCCTCTGATGGGAAGAAGAAAATACATATATATAAATAAATAAACAAACACATTGACTCTTATGTANTAGTTCCTGAAAATTTCATTTTTAAAAACCAATTTTTGTTGAAGTTGTTTAGAAAAAAGTAAGCACATGCATCTTAGCGACATAATGTTTAAAAGACCTGCCAGGACAGGGGTGGGATTTAAATACCCTTCGCGCCAGTCAAAGAGTTAATAGACTGATATAAGAACAGAGCACATGCCTGCAATGTAAGCTTGAAAGTTATGTGAAAGACAGAAGATCTAAGGCCCTTACCACTAAAAAACATTATTCTGTATAAATAACAACAGGTCAAGACATATAATTGCTACAGTTTTCTTAACTAAAAGTTTCAAAAACAATTTTAGATCTGTATATTTCAACAGTCGAAAATTACAGGCATTTTGAATCAGGATTTTCAAACTATGGTCCCAGAATACTGCAACAGCAATAATCATTGGTATTATGTTACAAACCTTGATCTCCATCCTTGTTTGATGTTGGTGTGCACATAGTGACACAAGCATGGAAGATATTACGATTACCATCACAGCGCTCCAATAGTATACCTTGTAGTGGAGGTCCTACCTCATTGCAACACCCTGTAACAAAGGATGCTCTAAGCTGAACATGGTTTGTGGCAAGATAAGCATGACTTATTTCAAAACCAGTGTGCTAGTATTGCAAGAGCGTGAGTTCATAAATGATGTAGCTAAGGAACTCCCAACTTTCACCATTTGTTTGTTCTGTGTGGAACTGGTTTCATGTTTAACCCTTTGACGTGGTCATTTAAATTCCGCGGCCGCGTCTCCTGCGGTAATATATTCAGCCGGCCATTTAAATTTTGCTCAAAAATGATTTATTCATCATTGTTCTTAAATTCTATGAGATAGGAACATGAAACTTTTACTAAAATGATCTAAAAAGGTGGTTTTATAACCTTACCTTATAATATGAGCAGCCGGTATCTCGGCAATGGAAGCAGTTTGTTTAGAATTTGAGCAGTGAATGGTACGCTTTGAAGCATGGAACTTTCACTAAAATGATCTTAAAAGATGGTTTTATAACCTTGCCTTATAATATGAGCGCCCTGTATCTCGGGAACGGAGTATGGTACGCATTGAAGCATTCTACTATACACAGCGCTGTCTCACTTCACCACACCAGTACTGCGTATCTCTCATTTGGCTNTTAATGGGGTTCTGTGACATGTTTGATGTCTGCCTGCTTATTATGGAATGGTGCTCATTCAGCAAATACAGTTATTCTTGGTGTGCATGGCTATGCAGTCTCCATCCACTCCACCAAATAACAATGTCAGTTGTAAGACACGATTTGTTCTAGAACATGCCGACTATGCAGCTCAGGTTTTCGTGAACTTTGGGTCAGCTTTGTTCCTGTGCATGAGGCTGTGTAATCCTAGAGGGTTTGGTAATGTGTAGCAAGCCTGGATCAGCCATGTTCTAGAAGAGGAAGGGGTCTATACAAATGTCTGTTGATGATGAATTTTCTGCCACAATCTGTTTACAGATGTGCTCGTATATGAAAACACAGTGGTTACCTAGTGGCTTACCAAATTTCACAAAAGTCTGTCAACTGAATTGGATCAAGGGTGAAATGCAGATATGAGCATATGAATAGACAGATCACCATAGCATGATGGCCATTTTTGTTTATAAAATTATGAAGGTATGCTAAAAAAGTCATGTGATGACCATCAACACCAAAATAAGGAACAGATTATGCAGAATGTTACCAAAGAAGGTTTACTGAATTCACAGTCCTGATGTACACCACCATGGCCAACACAACCACACTGTATTTTAATACATGTAAATTACTTACTAGCTTCTTGTTCAAGGTTCATCAGCACTTGCTTAACACCTTCAAAGTCACATCGTAGTATTCTAGGCATGAGAATTTGGGATTCCAAGGCCAAGACAATGACGGCAACCTGATTCTTCATATTAGAGCCAGCAGCAACACTCAGAGCATGAGTTCCAGCTCCTATACACCGCACAGGTGGGAGATCGAGCCACTGAGGATCCCTAATACTGTCCACACAATCCTTTGCAAGTGGATAGATTGTGCTGTTACCATCTCTCAGAATCAGAACACTATCACTTGTCTGAAATTTAAAGCAAACAAGAAGAATGCAATACTACACTGTAACTTCCATTTTATTAACTACATGCTGTAACTAATTTTTTGAGTCAGAATTGTTTATTTACATTTCTAAAATAATTAACACACACAAAAAATTATCAATGGCCTACAGAGACACACTTCTGTTTCTAACAGATTTGAACACGATGAGCTGAGATACCATAGTTAGTATAGCGACTGGCTACAGGCTGGACGACTGAGGGGTCAGAATTTGAGTCCTGGTAGGGTCAAGTATTTTCTCTTCTCTATGTCGTTCAGACAGGCCCTGGGGTCCACCTAACCTCCTATCCAATGGGCAGCGGGGGCCCTTTCCTTGGGGGGTAAAGCGGCCAAGGCACGAAGGTGACCACTCACCTCCAGCTAGTGCTGAGGTCAAGAAAATGTGGATCTATACATCCACCCCCCATATGCCTTCATGGCGTAGTGCTTAATTAGTTAAGCACAGGGACAACTTTACCTTTACCTTACAATATACATATTCTTTGTTCGTCTATATCTATGTCAAGGCCAGACAAAGAAGAGTATACAGAATATTACTATAATCTATACTTAAAAACCCAAAAATTTCAAATCTCATAGATATAACCCCTGTCCTTCTGTTATTTTGAAAGAGATGGCAGCAGTGCTCATTGATCATCAGAAAGAATATGTTATAAGAAGAAAATTAATAACAAGTGACATTTTATCACCAACCGAAGACCAGTAATTCAGTGCAAATATCTTGTTTTGTAACGGTACACACAAGCAAAAAAAAAAAGTTTTTTTTTTTTTAATTTGCTTAGTGGGGGGGTGGAGTCCAAGTGGGTCCACTTGGCATGGCAGCCACTGAATGGCCTATTGTACCTGCCCCGCGTGATTATGATGATGGAGAATTTGGTGGAATGAAGATTGGCAGGGGAAACCGAAGTACTCGGAGAAAACCCGCCCCAGCACCACTTTGTCCACCACAAATCCCACTTGACCAGATCCGGGGTCAATCCCAGGCCGCCACGGTGGGAAGCCAGCGACTCACCTCTTCAGCTATGACGTGACCCTCACACAAGCAACGTGGTATGTCATGCACAGTACTTTCTCAGTCATGGGATAAAATCCCACTCAGAAATATATAATTTGTTTGAAATTCTTTTATCACTGCCAGCCAACAAAATTAATATCATTCCTTCATTTTGGTTGATCTATAAATGGCTAATCTGTCCACAACAAGATAGTAAATACGCAAGACCAGATAAACTGTCTGTGGTGATTCCCAGGGTTAAGAACAGTTTGGACAAATATAAAACTGTTGAGTTCATGTTGCCATGTGTATGAGTGACTCTCAATCGAGTTTTAGATTGGGTATTGGATTTACTGCCCACTTTAATGCACAACTTGTAACTACAAGTAATTATAGTGCCATCACTAATCTCCACATTTTACAAATCGTTACAGCACACTTTAAGTCACTGCAGTCTGTTACGTCTTCACCAGCAGTTGCCTGACCATGGCTCCAACAAGGCTACTCCTCTGCTTCGGTGCTCAAGTGGCTCCCTTACAACTAACTCAGTCTGCTCTTTGTCTGGCTTATAACTCATCAGCATGGACCACCACAGAAAACACTGTTTCCAACAGTACCTCTACTGGTGTGTGTTGATTTCAATCATTTTCTTGGAAATGTTTTTTGTTTGCAAGGCATGTTAGCCAGTAATAGCTCTACATGCTACAACAGTATGATGAGAAGAATATAATTCCAATTTGTCATCTTATTTAGTCTCTGAGGAGCTGTAAATATCTTCTGGTTACCTTCACATTTCTTAAAATTTAACATATTTCTTTCTTTTCTCTTTATTTGCGATGTTTTGAACTGATATAAAATTCTGCAAGTTTAGGTCAGTTGCTTCTTTTAGAATTACAAACATGACTTTAATACTTAAGCCATTTTAAAATTTACTGTCACATGGCAATATAATCCTGATTCAGTTCTATTCACCTAAAATCCTAACAATCAGTCTTCTTATATGCCATTTTAATGTTAACCTCCCATCTCGGTCTTCCAAGACACTCCAAACATAATTTTGTAAGGATTTCATACTTTCCTTATAGTAACCACATGCCAAACCCATTGCAGCCTTCCTAGATTTCACTGTAGTAACAAATTTACGCAACTGTAACACGGCACGGCACAAAACAACTAACAGCTCAGCATACACCATAAGGACAGTCCAATGATGGCTTATTTGAAGTTCATTAAATCAAGTTTGTCATAACACATTACAACCTTTAACCAAGAGATTCAGTGACACTCCTGACCTTGACTCAAGACCACAATTTGATTTTCAAAGTAGTATGCTGATATTATAAATATATTTTGAGGATGAACTATTTGTTTAAACACACTGCAAATCTAAAGTTGGAATCTCCTGTGTGTACGGAATTATGACTTTGCTGTTGTTTTACACAATTGGAACATCGCAACTAAAGAGGTACACTTGTGACTAACCATCTGGAAACAATGAAGCCACTGCAAACACTACCAAGCGAAAAGTTTCTCTCTTTCAGGTTCTTATACCCTTGCATCTCTTCATCTGAGATGATAATCCCTATAACTTTCTTTGAAGCCCTAATCATGCCCACAATCTTACAGAGGGTAATAGAGTTCACACACACACATACCTCTCCTGCACTTGTCAAACTGATGTTCTGCGGATCCAGACCCAGAAATGAGCCCGTATCTGAAGGGAATGGGCTGTCCTGCTCCGCTCTGCCACTGCTCAGATTGTAAACTACATAGCTGAGTTTGCCACCTGTCTTTACAACAGCATGAATACCTGCAATACAGTTTCAAATTCAATAAATGAATGAATGTCACCTATAGATGGTGTAATATTATACACTAACAGTAAAACTTATAAAAGCACTTTTAACAAAAAATTATAAAGAAGGTGATCAGACCATGCAAACAGTGTGTCATGTCACTTTCTTATGGCTTCGTGTGACATCCACACTATGAGACTGTTATGCTGTTATATAAAACAGGCACAAAATAAATTCCAGGATTGAATTCTACTTATTATATATAAGAAGCTTCATGAGAGGATTTTTAATATGCAAATTTAGGATGTCTCTTGACAGAGGATGAAAAAAGGGCATGCCTCCACCAACTTAGGTTTAATTAATCTAAGTAACTTGAGGACCCCCACCCCAAAGAAAAAAGGCTCAGTGGTGTACAACATCACACAACATCACAGTCAATCATGCTATCTGCATAAAGAACCTTCCGATTAGGAATGGTTGCTGCTGTTGGGCAGCGTTGTCATGCTTTTGCTTTGCAGTTCATTACATTGGTTTTTCCTTTCATTATTTCAAGATGGATTGACCTCTACTCAAAAAACACAGGCCATACTTCTAACATATCGGAATCAACAAGAGGAGTTCCACTAAAAGTAACAGATTATTTCTATAATTTTATCATAAAATAATCAGTTACTGGCAGTGGGACTACCTTCTTAAAATACGTTATATGTTGGGTGCCCTATTTGTAGTACGTACAGTAATAGAGTTGGTAATGTTTATATCAGCTTATGTTATATTATCAATAATAAATAAATATTTCAGAAAGTTTAACTTTATTATGTAGTTTCCTCAATGTGTTAATTGCCATCTGAAGATGTCATTAACTGTCCGAAACATGTAAAGGCATCATATATATAAATATGATGGGGTACCCAAAAGAAACCGAACTAATTTTTTTTGTGGGCAGAGCTTTTGTAGTACCGCGTTTTTCCGCTATGAGCGCAGAGAGTTAACATTCCTGAGTCGATAAGCCGACTACCGTTGCTTCAGAAGGTAAGGACTAGTTTCGGCAGAGTTTATAGTGACAACTGTTTTGTGTGNCAGATTTGTGGCAGTCGGGTGACTGGTTTTTCCATCATGACAATGCCCCTGCTCACACAGCCCTGTCTGTATGACAATTCTTGACCAAAAATGGTATCACCCCTGTTCCTCACCCTCCATACTCACCCGACCTTGCCCCATGCGACTTTTTTTTTTGTTTCCTCGAATGAGAGACATGAAAGGAAAGTGGTTGCTGATGTTGCTGAGGTGAAGGAAAAAACGATGGAGGCGCTGTCAAGCATCTCAAAAGATGAATTTAGACAATGTTTTGAAAAATGGAATAAAAGACTAGACAAGTGTATTAGTGTAGGTGGAGAGTACTTTGAAGGGGATTGAAGGTTTGTGCTTAAAATTTGAATAAATAAGTTAAAAAAAAAAGTTCGGTTTCTTTTGGGTACCCCCTCGTATACATTTGAGTCACACTGGAGAGTGTAGTCAGATCATTTTTCTAGAATATTTCAGAGTTTATCACACAACTCATCTTCACCTTGATATCACAGAGCCATAAGTTTCCTAATCTCCATCTAATGTGTAAAATTACACTCTGAAAATATAATTCATGTATCTTATGCTCTAAAATGAAAATTTTATTTTTAGCCACAAATTAGAGGCTAAAAAGAGTAAACTATGCAAGTAAATGCACTGTTTACAGTACTTTCACTAACCTTGTCCATCAACTGTGATTGTGAGAATCTGTCCTCCTTCAGCTATATTTACTCTCCGAGGGATGCGCTGAAAACAATCCGGAGCACGGGAAGTAGCGCCAGATTTAATCACCTGTTAATACAAAGCATGAAAGGAAACTTGCCCTCTAAATATCTGATACACATAAAATAGGCATGTGCAAGTCTGGAATTTTAAAGTTCAAATCTAGAAAGAAGATTTCTCAATCTCAATCTGAACATTCATCTTTCATTCTCAAACTTTTAGAATTTTCTGATAACTACTTTTCTGTTCCACAATAGGGGTCATAATAAAATGGACTGGTATCATATCTGCCAGAATACTGTGAATCTCCCATTTAAGGTTGGTTTAATGAACAGATCTGAATACTAAACTGAAAAAATCTTAAATATCAGTAATTTAACACTGAAATTATTGATCTGGGGCCAATGATATTAAGCACTAAATCAGAGCATTAAGCAAAGAACATAAAATAGGGGCTCCACTGTATATTACAGGACAAAAGTACATGTTTAATAGTAACAGCCAATATACGTAAGACCTACGTCATTGTTTGTGGAACTGAACCTTTATTTAACTTGAAAACTGCCCACCTAAGACTACAGAAGCAAACAAGAATAATTTATATTTCTGACCAATAAAAATAATATATCTTATTACAAAAAATTGATATGAAGACTGATCAATTTCCATTGATTATCTGTTATGGAAAAACTTTATGACAGTTTTATAAAAACTCAGTCACTGACCTGGAGTTCATCTTTTCTCATAAGCCTGCAATCTTGGAGAAGATTAACTGTATCATCAGATGTAAGATCTTTCATTTCCTTTGAATCTTTGGTGCACGGAAAACGAACAGCTACATGTGCCCCATCCACTTTCAATACTCGACCTGCAAAAAGAGGATCCATAATATATAACACAAGACAATCTGTAATATGTAACATCAACTGATTTTGTTCACCTAAATTAAAGACTGAAACTCTCCTACAGTTTTACAGAAAGTGAGATGGCACTAGCCAAGTACCTAATTTATTCACTCAGGGTATACAGTGCTTAAGTAAGTTCTTACTGTTAGCCAATGATTCACACCAATAAAAAATCCCATTCGGCTTGAAGCACACTAACTGAAATGCTGCAAAGGCAGACCCTCAGCTTTGCTCACCTCAATTCAACTCACGCATTGCAAACAGAGGATTACATGAATTCTAAACAAAGCAAACTGGTCTGCCTTTGCAGCATCTCAGTAAAGCAGACTCAAACTTTAATAAACTCAATTCAGTCAATATGGTTACAGCCTTAGTGAACCCTTCCAGTGCTAGCTAAATCCACTTTCACAACCTATCTCTCAATATCAATTTCAATATTATCATACTATTTATGCCCAAATCTCATTTACCTTTCTGAGAAGAATTTCTAACTGAAATAACATATTTCTTGCATGCCAGAAGCCCACTTAATTTTTCGTGATATAAGCTGTAACTGTTTCATGAAAAAACAGTTTCTATGAAAGTTAATCACTCCAGTAATACTAGATGGAAATTTACAAATCTCTCAATATGTGAGTTTCTCCATTCTCATTACTTCATCTGTCTAGATGCAAATAATTTCGTCAGCAATTTTAGGGAAATGGGATGTAAGAATATGGACTGGATTCATGTGACTCAGATAGGGTTCAGTGGTTGGTTCTTGTCACTACAGTAATGAACCTTTGGGTTACATAAGAAGTGGGGAATTTCTTGACCAGCTGCAAAACCATCAGCTTCTTTAGGATTCTGCTAAACTGAGTTAGTGTAAAAACAGTTCAATGGCCATATTCTATATTCATTTAAGTGTCATCCTGATGTCAACAAACGCACATGGTTGTTGTGATGTTCTGAAAGGCCACTGGCTAAAGTACTACCATTACAGTGTATGAGATATTACAAACAGCATTCCTCATTTGACTGTTTATTTCACTGCATGATTCTAAGAGCTAAGTAAATTACAGGTTATTATTAAAATAATATATTTAATTATGTACCCAGAAATACAGATCACATGGCTCACAGTACTGTACTATAATTACCTCTGCTGGTTCCTAGAACTAGAATGCAAATGACCACCAATGCGATAGTCTGGTCCAATTAAACAAAAGCTGATAATATCTTTTCATGGAGGAAGCAGCTGCAGGTCCATCATCCAAAAAGCATAAGAAAGGCAAGCCTCTAACAGCAGTGAAAAGCAAACTGATGCAAATGTGTCTGATAAGTTTTCAGAAAAATACCCCTTCTTAGCAATGGGATACAGGGCAAGAAAGAAAAAAACCTTTTAACTTTGGGAGGCAGGCCAAACGGCAGATGCAGGGCTATGCAATCAGTGCTGTGTTCATCATGTCATCCAGGAAGGGCAAACGATGTGTGAATCAGATTGTCTTACTGACGGTATAGTGGCAACGTGTCTGATTCAGTCACCTACTTGGAAGCAATAAATCCACCACCTGACAGTGACCAACGGTTCCTCCAAGTCCTTATTATTAACAGCAATTATATACTAAAGCAAGTGTCACGTAACTTCAAACAAGGCCAAGAGTAACCTTGAATGCGCAGAAGAAAAATTTCAGACATGGGGGTGGGTTCAAGGGTGTGAGAAGTGACAGGCGGCCAGTTGTTATGATTTGTAATATTGTTAGTGTGACGGACCAGAATGAAACAAATCAAATTTATGTGACACTTGCTTTACCATACTACGTCAAAGTTAGTACCTTGCGTCTTTACAGGAATAGAGGCTGTCTGATGGAAAAGGAAGTGTTGATATTGTTTTAAAATACAGTCAACTATCCAGTCCGGCTTCACAATGTGAGAAGCACTTAAAGCATGGGGACAGACATGGCAACTTCAGCAGAAAGCATATTAATTCCTAGGTTTACACCAGGATTAACATTGCAGTGAACAGACTTCAGATTAAATATATCACATACCAGCTGGCACGCTCTTCACATCCTCCACAAATACAACATCCTTTAGCTGCCATTCCTCCTCATCCTTCTTCTCTGTATCTTCTCCTTTTGGTGCCGGACGTTTCTGTCTTTCTGTAAAAAGAAAAAGAATAAAACACATTAAACAGAAATGTCATAATTTAAATAAAGAGGGAGTTCCTATAACTAGGAAAACTAGATGCTCTTGTGTCGGCAAATGATCTGACAGAACAGCTAGCCACACAGTGAGAAGTGAACCAAGCACCTCCCATTATTGGGGGGGGGGGAAGTGTGCTAACTAAATTAACTGTATTATGTGCTTGTAATTATGATTGCACTTGCCGTTTTGTCATATATAAGTTGACAAGCACCAACATAACCATTAGCTTGGGTATATGTTCAAAAAGTAAACTGTAATTATGATGATGCTATCACAAAAACCTCAATCAGGATAATGTTCCAAATGAGATTTGAATCAGGCATCTCCCAAATACAAGTCAGAAGAAAAAGATTCTTGTGAAATAATGAACTATGGTTGCAGAAACAACCCAAAATTTCTTTGCAGATAGCATCATACACTGGACTAGGTGTACTGAAAAGCAGAAATATGATGAAAAATATCCTACTTTGCATTTGTTTTACTAGCAAACAGCCTTTACTTCTTCCCTTCACTCCCAGATACTGAACATTACTAGTGCTGTCACATGTTAGAAATACCAGCAGATGAGAAACTCGTGTTATTGGTGGCAAAGAATAAAAGTGAAAAAAATGGAATGGAATCTAATGACATGCCATTCTTTCCTAGTTTTACAAATTTACGATTGTGCCAACAATGTAAGAAAAATATTCCTATTTACACATTATCACCTCCCTAGTGTGATGATTGTGCTGATAAAATAAAGTAGGCTAGAATTAAAGCAAGCCAATCACAGTGCCAACACGGTCTAAGGCATGAACTGTTTTTGCTTGCTTGAATGCTGGGACTGTGGGTTTGAATCCCACTCAAAGCATGTATGTGTGTGTGTTTATCCTGCGTGTAGGTAGTGGCCTTGTGACAGGCTGATCCCTCATCCAAGGAGTCCTACTGCCTGTGTAAAAAAGATTACAAAACTGGAGAAGAGGCAAGGGCCCAATAAATGGCTGTAGAGCCACTTACGTATGTATATATGTAGAATTAAAGTAAATACATGCACATAGAAACTGAAACATGTAATGCACATATTATGACTGTGTCTGGGACACGCAATAGCGTAGTTGGTTGAGACACTATGCCAGAAGGTGGAAGGTTGCAGGTTTGAGCCCTGACGATTTCTTTTTTGAGTTCACCTGATCCTTCCAGCCGCAATATGGCCCTGGTGCTGACTCAGCCTCTAACAGAAATGAGTACCAGAAATCTTCCTGGCAGCTAAAGGCAGTCAGTGCATAAGGCTGACAACCTTACCGCCATCTGTTAGCCAAATGTCTAGAGAAAATGTGGGAGCTTTGACATCTCACAACTGTAAGGGCCTTCGTGGCCTGTTAGAGGGATAGCTTTTAAACTATGTGAGTGTACATACTGTGGCTGGTTGTAATGCTGCCTGTGTCACTACAGGTACTTGATGCGGGAGAAGGAGGAGGGGGCATGTCGAGCCTGTCTGCTGTCTCTTTATGCAGGCTGTTTTTGTTTCCACTACTGCCTGGTGCTGGAAGGCTGCTTGCTGAAGTTACACCAGCTCCACTGTTGTTACCACTACTGCTGTCTGCTCCACGACGATGTTCAGGTGTAGATGATGCACTGTGATGTTGTGTTGGTGCTGGGGCTGTTATCAGTTTGAAGCGACACAGGTCTGTCAGGTTCCATGCAGCATTTAGCAACTGGCCAACCTTAGGAACACCACCAGATATTGTGAAGCCTGAAAATATGAGATGGTGACAAGATAAATGACATTTTCTGAGTTACTAGAAAATTTTGCCATCAATCTATCCAACTGACCTTAAAGAAATAGGTTGCAATGACATGAATTAGAGTCACCTGACTCGGGATAAGGTCCAGTGGTAGGTATTTGTGAAAATGATATTGAACCTTCACCCACTCCTTAGCCTGACACAGGATTAGCCCCACAGGTAGCTGTGCCTTAAGCATACATTTTTATTTCACTATCACATATGGTACCAGTTTCATGCTGTCTCCCAACTCTGTAAACATTACAGTCACATCTCTTCACTGCCTGATGTTCTTATGAGAATAGAAGGCCGTGGAGACTGGTTGTAGAGGAGGCCAAGGCTCACCCAGGGCTCTAGTGCTGAGTGGTAGGTAGGTAGATGTTCTTATGACAATATTTTACACCCACAACATTGATGGTGTAATAGAGTGGCATATTGAAAGACAATGGTATCCAAAATTATTCCCGTCAAGTGTGAGGGTAACTTCTTGCAAAGAGTAAGACTTTTGCTGTAAAAAAAAACCTGTACCTCTTCATCACTAGCATACATCACCATGACCTAGACATGAAATTTTAGCCTCTCATTGAGTAACGATGGTGCACGAAACTGACATTTCAACCTGTCTTGAATCCATACAAATGATAATTTTATGCAGAAGTGCAAGTTCTGGATTTTGCTGTTTCTGCCTCCAGATGTTTGCCTCAGGAGATACTGTGTTCTTGCCATTTTACAGCTGTTTCCTCATTTTGTAAATTTAATCATCGCAGTCTTCAGGACAAATCATAACTGTAGCACCTGATACGTTATGACACATTTTTAGTTTCACACTCGTACTTATTTTCTCAACATGACAAGCCATTTTCATGCTGAGTGACACTTGTGATGGCACTGAACCTTATGACATTGTATATCAGTAAATTACTGCTTCTGTCCTGTTCCTCTCATTTTCTGACTTGTTACTCTCATAGCACAATAGCATGAACTGTGCCGTGAACATGCTAACAGCTTACACTGGATTAAAAACATCTACTATATATAGCATTTGACTTCATGATGATCCACAGCCTTGTAATGTGTAAAATGGGGGGTGGGAACTCATCTTCCATTTAGGCTAACTTGATGCTGATCCCTTCCAATGTGACTCCAACATGCAAAGCAGATGCAGCTATCAGAAAATTTTCTAAGATGAAGAATGAAATATTGTCTGAATCACGACCAAGAAACTGTTCCTCAATTTAATCTAAAAAACCTGAGGCTTGTGCATGCCTAATTTCATGATGAAACACTGCAATACGCAACAGATAAGAACGATGTAATGAGTTCCTCTCCTTACATTGTTGCTTCACTATGATACATCTTATCCCTTCTCTTCTTTTTTCTTGCCTTCAACCTTTTATCATTTGAAAATTATATTTTATGCTGAATTGGTGGGGGTATTTGTACTGATAGATGTTCATAACTTTGGAACTATTCTTACTGAATTCCTTTAACAGAAAATTACTTGAAAGTATAATGCTGAATTCTACAGTGTTATTACTTACTACTGCAGAAATTGGTAACTTCAAGTTTACAGTTTCCTAAAATACAATGTAATATTCTATATACACTCATAAATTCAAATGTATAGCACTTTTCTCACATTTTGATAGAACTACTATTCAAAAGCTTGACTCTGTATGGTAAACATGAAAACAAGGGTCTATACACATATTAACATATACGAGGGTTGGAACTTTAATAGTGGCAACACTGCTGTAGAGACACCATGCAACGGAACCAAATAATGTCACTTATACCACATGTTAGTTACATACCTACCTTACCTCAGAGCAACTGGACTCTCCCTTCCCACATCACGTGCATGCGCAGTGACAAGAACAGAGCCTCGTGTTGGCTGGTGGTCTAATGTAGTGTTGTCACAATGTTTTTGAAACAGGAACAACGGAGTTGGATAAAGACTGAATATGCCAGAGGCCGTACAGCATGACAGTGTCATCAAGGTCTTCAAGAGGCTTGCGGGGAATCTGCATTGTCTTACAGAACAGTGGCAGGGTGGGTAAAAGCCTTTAATGAGGGACGCCAAAATGTGGCAGACATGCGTCGGCCAGGTAGTCCTAGTGTCAGTGAAGAAGTGTATGCTCTTTCCGCATTACTGGAGAGTGATCAACGCCATACAATTCATGAGCTGGCCTGAGAGACAGGATTAGCGCATACGACTGTGCTTCACATTTTGAAGGAACACCTGGGCATGAGAAAAATTGCATCACGATGGGTTCCGCATGATTTTCGGAAATGCAGAAATGGCAAGCTGTGGCTGATTTGTTCAATCGATGGGGCTGGGAAGTGTTGTACCATCCACCATACTCACCAGACCTTGTGACTTTGACTTGATTCCTAAGATGAAGGAACCACTTTGTGGCATTCGCTTCAGAAATGTTCCAGAGATTCTTCAGGCAGCAGACCGCTCCATTTGAACTATCAACACAACATGCCTTGCTAAAGGTATCCTAGGATTTCCATATCGCTGGCAACAGGTTGTACACAATGGTGGTGACTACGCTGAAGGACAGTAAAACTTCAAAACATGCATCTATTTTGTATCAGTTGTAAATAAATAGTTGTCACTATTAAAGTTCCAACCCTCGTACATTTGGAATATGTTGGTTTTTTCTTGACTAAGCATACATGATACTCTAAGTGCAATCCTGAACCTGGTCAATGACAATGTACTGAGTTTTGCGGACCATCTGACTGTCAATGTGTCATCTGCGTTGAGTACAAGGCTCCCTTACACTAATTTCCAACAAAATTTGAATGAAAGTGATATAAAATTTTCAGTGGTCTACCTATCAACTAAAGGATGATATGATGATGCAACTGTTAATTTCTTTTGGGAAGCTTTGCCAGGTTTATTGCTCATTTTGCACTACTCAGGGGACACGTATGACTTAGAGAACATCACGGACACAAGCAAGAAACCCAGAAAAGAAGCTGTTGCAATTTTTCGATTGAATACAGGACATGACTACCTTCTAAGATAGGAATATATAACACAGAAGAATGTAGACTGTGCAACTTGCCAGGATCATCTATGTGAAAAGAACACCTCCTTTGATGGCCTAATCTTAACAAGGAGATGCAACAAAGCAAGAACTTGAACGTTCTCTATTGGGAAGCGAGAAGCAAAATGGGTTAAATGATCCCGAATGCAGCCATTGGAAACCAACCAACCAATTATAATGCAACTCTTCAATATAGACACATTCAACATGTGAAATATATCTCTTTTTCATTCACATTCATATTATTCCACTAACTGAAGGGATTAAAACAGGGACAGAGAAAGAAATATGCTCATTGTCCTTATTGGTCCAGATCCGCCATAGTTATTTGTCACATGATTATGAGGCTGGGTGACCACCTTCTTTGCAGCCAACCTATGTCACACTTGATTCCTTATCCTACACACTTCAACTGTGAAGATGAAGGCAGAACAGTCTTTCAAAATACTGGTATCTGCCTATAACACTACGTGCTGTCAACCCAGAAAACCACAATCTGAACAGTTACTGTTATGGAAACCTCAAAACTTACATAAACATGCTGTCTCTTCACTTAAGACCTCTCACGTGTCAACACACTCTACATTTATTGTAATTACAAGTAATCTGAGAGCTGGACGAGTTGTTGTTCATCCTCACAAAACTGTGATTACAAACTATGGTGAAATCTCAAATGATACCTAAGTGAGGTTTTCTGAATTACAGGGAAAAATTTGGAAATAAAACTCATAGAGCATATTCAGGAATTCACTTTCATAATGAAAATATAATCATCATTGAACAGTGGCACACACACATGCATCAGACAAGTATATTTAGTATAGTATGCCAGCGGACTGAACAATGCTCTGAAACATTATTGTTTTTACCTCTTATCGTACTACGACCCAGCTGGTAACCAAGTACTTACCAATAGCTCCTGGCTGGTACATGGGACTGTTCTTCATGCACACTTGACTTCCGCAGACAATGTCAGCCGCCACAGCAGATGGTCGGTGCTTACGGGATTTTGCACGATGCTTTTCCCACAACCGTTTACGCTGTCCAAATGGCAAAACACCCCTGAAATAACAATGTGATGTCACTTCCTCTAAATGTAGATTACACATAACAGCAAATCAGCAACTCTGGCCTGCTGTTCTCAGAGATATTATTAGAAAGTATAATAATCACTCTTTATTACCATATCAAATTAATATCACATGGACATCTGTGATAATTCTGTATTCGTAATCTGTTTGCAGATTCATAAATGTTATTTCATTCTAGTGTCACAGTGTCTCAAAATGCTAAACAGTTTTTTTTACCACTGTTCAAGAAATAGGACACAAAAAGCAATTTGTATTTTGTATCATCATCAGTAATCTGTCAAGACGACAGGTCCACAGTCTCTTTCAAAACAATTCCTCCACTTAATGCGATCTAGAGCTTTCTCCTTCAAATGACAGTATCCTCTTCTGTCCCCAAGGTCATCCAGCATCTTCTTACGT